CAATAATGCATAATTTCATTTGATAAACACGTTTAGATTGAATGGTAATTTATAATCAGTCACAAGAACGTCGAATCTGAATCACTTGAAAAAAACACGGTGGTGCTTAACTTTTTTCCAGGTGTATATTAGTAAACATCAATTTATAGCTAATAAAAATTGTTCATTTTCAATAAATAAGTTATTTTTGATAATGAGGACCCATTTTGAGACTAATACAGTTTAGAGACAGTTTGCAAGGGTAACAAAAAAGACTTTATTAGAAGTTTAACACAATAACAAATGTACAATGCTAAATCAATATCCCATAATAACAAAATATAGATTCTAAAATATTTTGGAGTCAGAAATTGAAGAAATAAAGTTTGAACTATTATTTTTACTTACATTTTACAACTTGATATGCAGGTGTGCACTCAACACCCAAAAGGTGCTCATTGGTCCAGATATGGTTAAGTAGCATTTATAGTTTGATAAAACTTTCTTGATAAAAAATATTCATATACAATATTAATACTAAATGTAGATCCAAATATAATAGTCAGCCCTTTCTGTAAATATTTTTTAAATAGTTATATGCATATGATATAATTACATGTTTGATGTAATTGCTATTTCAACTGGAAGACACATTTGGTAACAATCTCTCAGTAACAGGTTACTCAAGATTGCACTTTAAAAGTAAACCTCATATGATTATGTATGGAAGTACAACCTTGAAAATGATATGTTTTTGAAAATAGGTATTATTTTGCTGAAAGGTTTAATTTTTTTTCTAATAGATAATTTCTTATCAAAATACTTGAGAGGTAAACATCTTGTCAATTTTAAAACACACCCTTGAAAAAGAAACAAACAAGTAATTTCTCTGTGTCAACTGATGAAAAATGCATATATGTTTAGAAGCATCATACAGTTAAAAGAAATGTATATGACTGTTTTAAATAAGCATTATGTTTCACTCAAAAGTTAAATGTTACACCAATTATGTTCCTGTAGATTTTTGTTTAGCTACTCTATTTTGTTGTCTTACTTTCACACAGTGAAAGCTATAATTTTTCTTGAAAACATAGGTAAGGTCATGAAAGCCATTTCAGGATAGTCTCCATTCCTCTAGTTTGTTAGTTTTATTATCATAAGTTTTTTTTCCAATGGTTTTCATACAGGTTGATTCATATTATCTTTAGAATATTCATTAAAAATAAATATCAAAAACAAGATAATAACTACAAAATAAGAGTCACTTTGATTAAAAAAACTCATGTATGAAAACTAATTTAATACCAGTATCTAAGAATTACAAAAACTTTTTTCAACATATATTTACATATCCCTATCTTTTTCTATTTATAATTATTTTTAATGGAATTTTATTGATGGAATTCAATACTGCAATTAAAGTTACCTACTTTTTTTTTTATAGATGTTGGAGGTTTCCCATACTACAAAATTTTAAAAATTCAGAAAACAGCTAAAATTGGATAGGGAAAATATATCAATTATAAGTAATATTTTGTCACTGTTAACATAGCATTTTGAGGTTTGTTTGTTTTTGAATTTTGCGCAAAGCTACACGAGGGCTATCTGCGCTACCTGGCCCTAATTTAGCAGTGTAAGACTTGAAGGAAGTTGGTCATCACCACCCACTGCCAACTCTTGGGCTACTCTTTTACCAACAAATAGTGGGATTGACCATCACATTATAACGCCCCCACGGCTGAAAGGGCAAGCATGTTTTGTGTGACGGGGATTTTGAACCTGCAACCCTCAGATTGCGAATCGAGCGCCCTAACCACCTGGTCATGCCGGGCCTACATTATGAAGTACCAACACAATTAAACAAGACAATTAAATACACCCAATTGGTGACATCATAAACATAGCCTTGAACTTAGCACAAGTATAAACCTACTTCTTGTGTTTTATTTATTATAGGTTTATATCCCTTTATTATCATTGCTTCTTTTATTGCCATGTTTAGTTGTGCTGGTACCTAATGATGCCACATTAACAGTGGCAAAACATTGTTTTTAATTTATATATTTCTCTACTCCATTTTGGCTGTTTCCTGAATTTCTAAAAATTTTCCAATTTTTTTTGTACTAATACACATTTCAAAAGAATCTTGAGTGTAATTCTGTTATATAAGATTGTAACTCTGTTACATAACAATCGGGATTTGTGTTTTGAGCATTGAATTTGTATTACACTGACATATTGTAATACTGCTTTATCAGAAATCAGTGCCAGAACTGGTTGTAAACTCTCAAGGTAGAATTCTGTCACATTACACAAAACACTACTAATGATCTGTTTCTCAATCTTCATAATGTTACAGTTACTGTACTTTTGCTATATTATAACTAAATTTTTTTCTATTATATATATAGGAAATTATGAAATTTTTCAGATAATAAGGTTAAAATAATAGGTGTTGCACATAAAACACAATTAAGGTACTAGCTATGGTGTGTGAAAAAAAGTAAAATGTGTCCTTACAGGAGATATATCCGAAATCTAAGACTTGCAGAGTAGTAGTCAGATAGTATCACTGCCACTGTATGGGTACTCTTTTTCACAGACACTATTCTTATAAGGCTACATTTAACACTTCCCACAATGTAGTTTGTTCTCTTGTTATATCTGTCGGTGTGTGACACTTTTTGTTTTTGCCCAACTGTCTCAAAAAGTCTTTTTAAATGTCATCAAAAATAAGCAGAAACACCTTTTATTCCTCTTCCTTCATTACTGCATTAATCACTAAGAACATTAATGTTACAATTTTCCTCAATGAAAATATACTTCTGATAGGTACTTCGCTCACAAGATTAGCTTTTCTTGTTTTGTGCTGCCCTCTATATTTGAACTTTTTCAGAAACGCATGCCACAAGCCTTCATACTCCCTCTGTTTGAATCCACAGTTCCAACACGTCTCTCATGCAAATCATCATGCATCACCTCTCCACCAATAGGAGAGCACAACTATCACGTGACACATGTGACTCCCTCTATGCACCACTACCAAACTATCTCTTTAAAGTTCTGCAGAAGACGCGAGCACTGGAAGATGGTGGGGAGGATGGGTGGGAAGTGTGAGTGGAGGGAAGTACCTATTAGAAATACATTTTCATTTAGTAAAATTATAACTTCTGATTTATTCTCCCTCCACTCACAAGATTAGCTTGAATCCCACACTGAAATGGAGACGGGACCGGTGTGAGTGAAGCACAGGCATACCCTCTAAAAGCATTTGGAGGACACCTCCAAA